TCGTAAGATTCCAAGTAAACTCAATTCCTACTGAATTTTCATTAATCATGATTCTCGGTCACCAAAAAATTTCTCTTGTACCAAACGCACCATAAAGAAATTTCCTAGGAAAGATTGAGGAACTGATTTTTTCAGCATGGTATTTGGTTAGACCTTATGAGGAGTGGGCTCAGCTCAGGGTAGTTACTAGTTATATAGTTTGGTGGTACTTGGGCCCATGACTATCATTACAACTTTATGCTTGACATCTTGGTTCTTTTCCTAGTTATTATTTTGTTCATCTTTTCTTTTTCCCACTAGTCTTCTGGGGCAGGGGCATTATGTCAGTGGCTAGTCTGAATTTTCTGCATATTCTATCAAAAGGAGATGCTTTTCATGTTGATGTTGACCCCAAGTCATAGCATCCTAAGTTCCAAACAGAGCCGTGGTACATATAACTTGGCATGCACCATCTACACATGCAAGGGCCTTCAAAGAAAAAGCAAACTTCCAAATTAGTGAAAATACAATCTCCAATGAACACTTTTAGTAGGTTAATTAAGCACAAATGAATTGAATCTGAAGTGGTCATAATTTGTCACTTTGAAAGATAAATCAGCAGATGAGTACCATGGAACTTGCTGGCTGCTACTAAAGTATTAGTAGTACCTATCATAAGTTAACTTATGTGTTTGCTCTTTCCTTCATATGAATAGAAAATGACAGAATGGTGGGGTGGGCGAATATTTTTTAGTCACATGACCTCAAAATAAAACCAAAATTTTCCAATCTATGATAAGTCGGTTTCATTAGGTTGCTACCTAAATAGGTTTACAAGAGAAAATGAAAAGCCAGACCCTTAAAATTTGAAGAGATTTTGAGAATACTGTTCAGCATCCAATCAAATAGCTGTTAATTTAATAGGATATAATGTTTCACTTTCAAGAGTAAATGAAAAAAGAGGGGGAAAAAAAACTCTTTCTTATAAAATGAAAGCATGGACTAACATTCCTCCTTGTAATGGAAAGTAAGTCAAAAAAGAGATACATGGCATTTTATTCCTGTAAGAGAAGCCATGTGCCTCTGCAAAGCATATAAAAAAATGGCAAAAAGGAGTAAATCCTCAAAAGTACTAAAAAAGTAATAAAACAATAAAAATTCAACAACAGAAAACTCTTGTTTGTAACACAATGCTTTTTTCAATTTCAGATTTTCAGTTACAAAACTGAGGTACCAAAGTGTTTTTATTTTTATTTTTTAATTTCTTTTCTTGCCAGTTGCTTACCTTACCACCAAGGCTTGAGGCATGGACCCAAGCTATTTGTCTAATTTGGATGGGACCAGTCTCAGACTCCAAGCTATAGCAAGTCCAAGGCCTCAAAAGAAGCACTATTCAATATATTAATAGCTGTGCCAAACGTCCTTTTTGGGTAAGTGTGATAACTTCCTTAATTTCCCAAATTTGAAGCTGAAACTAACCAAACCATGGAGAAAAGGACAGAGTTTTCCATAGTTTACAAGTAACTAGACATGTTGAAGGTTTATTTTAGGATTGATGAAAAAGTGTAGGTGAATATTAAAAAATATCACGTTTTGGTTCAGGTTTTTTCAAGAAATACCAGGCAAATAGGATAGATGGGAAAATGACTTTTGTGTTGATTTTTGGATAAAATTTACTGTTACAGAATACCACTTGAGATGTGGTATTTTGAGATGACTGGGGAAGTGAAAAAAACAGGTGCAAAGTTTCTCCCGAACATAGATTTTGCATATTTAAATAAATTTTCCTGGTAATATTTGGGTCAACCAAACAACTTTTTTTACATTTTCCTATCAAACTCGCTTTCCAACTATTTTCCTATCAATTACATTTTCCTAGTAAAATTTTTTTTCTCCTAAACCAAACACTACCTAAAAGATTAAAAGAATAATCTAATATTGGTTATCTTTGTAGGGTAATCTATCCTGCACAAATACAAAGAAGAAAAGGGGCAGGGCCAGTTGAGATTTCCTATATAATTTACTCAATCAAGTATATTGGTAACGACATACAAGAACTTTATCAACGTTCCTTTTGAGTAATATCATTTTACATTCTTCTGACTGAGTCTTAATCAAATGTTAATTATAGGGTGGTCTTGTTTCGCCAATTAAGTAGATTGTTTTGTTGCTTTCAGAGAATTAGAGAGTATACATAGTCAAATAAATCACAGATTCATAAATTTATGAGAATAGAACGAGCAGTGCAACATTTAATATTTATCATCTCTTGAATATTGTTTATGACCATACTCAATAAATTGTGAATGCTTTTGTGGTCCAATTCTCCATCTAGAAACTTAATTGGTTCAACCAATTTGACAGTTACTTGCTCAAAACAAATTGTATTTCATTTTTGTCTTATTTTATATTGGTTATATTTATCTCATATTACGTAAGAAAAGCCAATTTCCTACACACAAAAGAGAGATGGATCCCACCTCTATTTTTTCTCTCTTCTCTTATCTATGAATCTCACTTATTATTTTATTTTTATTATATGAGAGAAAATTTTTCTTACAACATAAGAAAATTATTTTCCATTTTATATTATTAAAAATGATAATGATTCAAATAATAATTACTCCATATCTGTTGGACTGTTCATTAATATTTTAAATTGTTGTAACTTTTGGATGGCAATGAAACTACTTAAATGATTCAAATTAATGAAGCTATCCTTATTAATTTAGTTTTTTTTTAAAATAGTTTGTGATAATCACGAAGGGTTTTATAAGAGTTATGTTGTAAGAAAAGTGATTGTGTAATGTTATAGAGATTCATTTTGAGTGCCATAATTTATTTATTTTTCTTTTTTCTTCAAAAAATATAGGTCCCACAAAATATTGTGTGTAAAAAAATTTGTTTTATCATGTTAAATGACAAATGCAAACATCAATCATAAAATATTGTGACAAAATTTTTGAATTGAAATAAAACAAATGAATACGAACTATTTGGCAGGTCATGACAGTGAAGAGTGGAGGGGTGTCAGAAGCAGTGTCAGAAGCAGTGACATAGCACGAGGGAGACCAATTAAAGCATAATAAGAATAGTAAACAGCTGCAAAAACATCCCTGTTGACTCATGAAGATTATATTAGAACTGAGTGGTAAAATAAAATATTGACAATTAATGCCAATTTCCAGCTATGAGATAAGTATTCACCGTTAAACTCTTGTACATCACATGTAGTTTGTGGTTTATGATTCTTTTTTAATAATTTTTTTTATCTCTCTATTTTTTTTGGATTAATATATTTTCTATAAAATAAAAATAATTTTATCTCTTATACTTATTCCAAAATGGGTTGGGTTAATTTTATCTATTTTTGTGTAAATGCAAGAGATAAAATTATTTTCATTTGTAAGAGAAATATGAATTTTTAAAAAAAAATACTTTTACAAATGTTTTCATCACTTTATTTTCTTCATATGAATTAATTAAATTGAAGTACAGTACATCATTTTTATTTTGGTGTAAACAATAGATCATTGTATATGAGCGTCAATAAATAAAAATATAGGGATTATTGATATTTTTTTATTCAATAATAGGGATTTTTCTACAGCAATAAATAACAAAGTGGAAGATACGTTTCAGCCTAGTTATTATGGACCGGATAACAGGGAATTTGAATTTGAAAAATGTACTGGATACATACGCGCTAGGCGCGTGCCTTAACTGCTCCCAAGAGATGCATGTGGCAAACGTAGTGCTGTTAACTGTTATCTCCAATGGTGGGACCTACAAAACCTGCAAATTTATTTACTTCCATTTATTGGTCTATTTCCGTTGAAAAAATCTAAATAAATAAAATAAAAAAACCGACAAGTTTGAAATTTTGAATATGAAATTCTATGAAGACATATATATACTTTGTTAATAAAATGATGTACATTATTCGTATACTTTTCATGGTTTTGAAGTGTTTTGATATCAATATTATATTTTTTTTTAAGTAGATAATGACCTGTGAGGCTGTGATGCTATTTTTACTTCTTGAAATTAAATATGGAAGGAATTTCAAACACAAATACGGAAAAGGAAGTGCTTTCAATATTTTGATTCAAACTTTGTTAGTTAATGAAATTTGAAAGAAGAATGAAAAGCAACTGGATATATTATAACATTGCTAAAAATATATAATTTTTTAATTTTTTTCATCCAACAAATAATGATAGTTTAAGTTTTCACAATAATAATAGTAACGCTAAGAATAATAACAATAATGAGAACAACAACATTGGAACAATTGCACAGACACATTGTTGCACTGTATTCTAATGTTCAAGGACTAAATTTAAAATTAATATGAATAAATACATTTTTTTAAGAACTAAATTTAAGTATTTTGTGAAGAGACATTAATTTCTTTTTAGTTGATATATATTTCTAAAAATTAAGCTTTAGATTTAAAATTAACCTTAAATCCTCTGCTAAATAATGGAAATTTATAGCCGTAAAAACAATCTTGTCTTAAAATTGAATGTTTAGATTATCTATTTCCTTTATTGTTTTCTACTTTATAGATTAATCAACCCGTTTAGGGAGTATGTCTTACTTGCATGTCTGTCAACACATGAAACCAAAATGTGACCAGGAAAAAAGGTACTTATGTCTATAATCTCAGTCATTCAAAAAATTACTTTAATAAGACTAAAGTGTTATTTAATAACTTACGTTATGATGTGAATAAAATGTTATTTAATGACTTATGAGAGTACGTGAGAAAACTGCCAGTTGAAAATTTTGGAAGTGTCCAACATTCCAATCAGAAGTTCCATGAGCACCACATTTTACTGCTTTTGATTTATGGTGTTTCCGACTTGACCACTTCACTTGTTTTGTTTCTCTTAACTCTCTTTGCATAGCTTTGAATTCGAAAACCAGGACTTGTTGCTGTAGAGTGAGAACTAGCAGTGGGAAAAGCCAACAACAATCTATCTTGAATCACAAACCTTTTTCATTCAGAACTGAAAATGGGTTTTTCTGTGCTTGTTCTCTTCTCTTTCCTGTTTTTCCTCTTGAACTCAACATGTGTTTGTGGGAATGAAGAGCTGAAAGCACTGATGGACATTAAAGCCAGTTTGGATCCAGAGAGCCATTATTTACACTCATGGACTAACAATGGTAACCCATGTGGTGGTTCTTTTGAAGGAGTAGCATGCAATGAGAAGGGTCAGGTGGCAAACGTTTCTTTGCAGGGAAAGGGTCTCTCAGGGAAGCTTTCACCAGCCATTGCTGGGCTTGAGCACTTGACAGGACTCTACTTGCATTATAACTCTTTGTATGGTGAGATACCAAGAGAAATTGCAAACTTGACTGAGCTTAGTGATTTGTATTTGAATGTGAATCACCTGTCTGGGGAAATCCCTCCTGAGATCTCCAGCATGGAGAACTTGCAAGGTTAGTAGTGGTTGTGATTCTGTTGAACAAGATTGAAACTTTTATTGTTCTTTGTCTTTATTTTTCTTCAACTTTTGCTGTTAAAAAGTTTTTACTTTTTTATGTTTGTGTGTGTTTAAATGCTGTTTAGTCATGGGTTTCACTGAAAGATTTGAGCTTGGTTTTGTTTATTTATTGTGCCATTTCTATTGCTATATCTCCTCAAATGGATTGGTGAGCTCTCTTGCACTTGTGCAAAAATTGTTATTTAATATTGATGAACTTCTGCTTTGTTTTAAGCCTATTGACTGTTACAAGCTTCTCTCTATTTAGTATTTGATCAAAACTAAAACTGCTACCAAGAATATGACTTTTTCATCTTGATTTCTTCAGCTTTGATTAGAAATAATATTTTATTGGTGGTTCAAATTTTGCAGTGTGCTTATCTTGCTCTTTTCTCTTGATTTGCAGTTTTGCAGCTTTGTTGTAACCAGTTGACAGGAAGCATACCTACACGGCTTGGTGCTTTGAAAAAGCTTAGTGTTGTTGCTCTGCAGTCAAATCAGTTAACTGGTGCTATCCCTGCTAGTCTCGGTGATTTGGGTATGCTGGTGAGGTTAGATTTGAGCTCTAATCATTTCTTTGGTTCCATTCCCACAAGCCTAGCCGATGCTCCTTCACTGAAAGTTCTAGATGTTCACAACAATTCACTTTCTGGGAATGTACCTCCTGGTAATAATGATGTTACTGCATATATTTAATTTTGTTGGTTTTTTCCATTTCTTTAGTAATATGTTTTGGTCATCTGAAATGTTTTTATTTGCTTTTCCTTGGTTTAATGTAGCTCTGAAGAGACTAGATGATGGTTTTTTGTATGAACAAAATCTGGGGTTATGTGGAGTTGAGTTTTCATCCCTGAAAACTTGCAATGCTTCGGATCATGTCAATCCCAGCAGACCTGAACCTTATGGAGCACCAACAAGAGATATCCCAGAAACTGCAAACGTTAAGTTACCTTGCAATGGAACTCGGTGCTTGAATTCATCAAAGTCCACTCAAGCCACATCAGTTACAGTTGGCATATTTGTGTCTGTAATTGCAATGTCAGCAATAGGTGTTTTGACCTTCATACTATATCGTAGGAGGAAACAAAAGCTTGGAAATTCTTTTCATATCTCTGATAGCCGTCCAAGTACTGATGAAGCCAAGGGTGTATACAGGAAAAATGGATCTCCTTTGGTCAGTCTTGAGTACTCTTCTGGATGGGACCCTTTGGCTGATTGTAGGAATTTCAATGGGGGTAGCCAAGATATATTCCAGAGTTTCAGGTTCAACTTGGAAGAAGTGGAGTCAGCTACTCAATATTTCTCGGAGTTGAATTTGTTGGGTAAGAGTAACTTTAGTGCAACATATAAAGGAGTTTTAAGAGATGGATCTGTTGTGGCTGTGAAGAGCATCAGTAAAACTAGTTGTAAGTCGGATGAATCTGAGTTCTTGAAGGGATTGAACATTTTGACCTTATTGAGGCATGACAATTTAGTGAGGTTGAGAGGATTTTGTTGTTCAAGGGGACGAGGTGAATGTTTTCTGATTTATGATTTTGTTTCTAATGGAAACCTGTCACGCTTCCTTGATGTGAAAGAAGGTGATGGAGAAGTCCTTGAATGGTCAACTAGAGTTTCTATTGTGAAAGGAATTGCTAAAGGTTACCCTTCTATCTTACCCTTTGTTAAATTAAAATTCCTATAACTTTTGATTTGACCCTCTAGGCAATTTTTGAGATATTCTAAGATATAAACCAGCAGAATGATAAGAAAATGACAGTGACTAGTAATTAGATATGTTATCTTTCTCTTACTGAATGTAATTAGAAGTGATACTTTCTTGTGCTTTCTATTCTTGAAGTCTATACTAAACCTTATTCTCTTAATCAGGTATGGCATATTTACATGCATACAAAGCGAACAAACCGATTCTTGTTCACCAAAACATCTCAGCTGACAAAGTTCTCATTGATCAGCGGTACAATCCATTGCTAGCAGATTCTGGCCTTCACAAGCTTCTTACTAATGATATTGTCTTCTCAGCACTTAAGGCTAGTGCAGCAAAGGGTTACTTGGCTCCTGAATACACTACTACAGGCCGGTTTGCTGAGACAAGCGATGTTTTTGCTTTTGGGGTGCTGGTTTTCCAGATCCTTTCAGGGAAGCAGAAGATCACTAGCTCAATAAGGCTTGCTGCAGAATCCTTAAGATTCCAAGAATTTATTGACCCTAATCTCCATGGCAGGTTCTTTGAATATGAGGCAGCTAAACTAGCAAAGATAGCTTTGCTTTGCTCCCATGAGTCTCCTTTTGAGAGGCCATCCATGGAAGCCATTGTTCAAGAACTGGGCAATTGTAGTAGCTGTCTCTGATTTCAATGACTAGTTAGTGCTAACTGCTCATGTTGGTGGTGACCTTTTTAGGGATTAACATTGTTATGTGTTCTTATCTAAGGACTAGCTTTTATGTGAATGCCTTGGACAGTAGTTTGTAGCTTAGACAAGGGGGCATTTCTTTCCTCAAATCACCTGTAATTTTATTGAATGTATTTTTATGTAAAAGGTGAATGCCTCTTTAATTTTCAATCAGGAACTCACAACCCTTCCCCTTATCTTTTACCAAACCAAAATTCAAAGTACAAGTAATCTCTCCACTAACTGAAGTGCAAAATTCTGAATCAGAATTATTGATTTTCTCATCATTACAGCATTCCCTATGAAGCTTTTGCACTCAAACATTATTTTTACTAAAGTATAAAGATATATTTATTTGTCACAATGATTCCCGGCTTACCCGCAAACATGAAGGGCCATTATTTATGGGTATTAGATCCAACTCACTAGCCGTACAGTGAAGGTTTATACTTTATAAAAGTTTCTTTTTGGTACGGTTACTATCAATTATATCTGCTGGACCTGTGCCTTTCATCTGGTTGCCTTAAAATCACTTTTGCATCATTAATACAAGTTAAGATTTTAAAATTAAAACTACATTGTTTATCATTTTCTTAAACTCTCTAATTTTATTGTATTTTATTTTTTGCCTTCATATTATTCGGATTTCAGTTAACTGTAGAGAGTCAAATTTTGTTATGTTGGGGTTGGTCTTGTGAGTGATTTATCTATGATGAGTAAATTTGCTAGAATTTGAATTTTGAAGATAAGGATGGATAAACACTCTTGCCGTGTGAAGTGTTATGGTATAACTAATGAATTGTCACCGGAGAATTTTAACAATGGTTTTGGATTTGAAGCGTGAATATTGTACAGAAAGTTATGCTGTCTTTTTTGTGTGTTAACATGCTGTCTTATTTTACTAGAAAATAGGACACCGAAAATCGAACTTTTGATTCTATGATCATCGACCATTTTAAGCAACCATTTCACCTAGCAGTTTAAGTTTAGAAGTGAAAACCTATCAATAATTTTTATATTATATCTCTCTAGCAATTAGTTTGGATACTAGACCATGTGGCCTAAAAATTTGTACATAAGCCAACCCAAACCTAACCCTTTTAACTTATTTATTTTACTCCTAAATCCTAACGCGCCCACCAAGCAATTTCAGGTTACATTTGATGACAAATAAAAATTCTTATTAATAGTAGCTAAAACCATTGGATCAAGTTGCATTTAGTGATAGTTTAATTAGAACAACCAAACCAATAAAAACAATTTTTTTGTGGTCTTATCATTCATATTGAAGTTTTCTATTTTCAGGGGTGTTTGATTAGGAGAAATTTTTTATTACAAAGAAAAATAATTCTCAGAATATGATGGATAATTTTTTTACCCGGGTAAGTTACAAAAAGGTGTTTGAAAGACAAAAAATTTATTGGGAAAGTTGGATTATTTTTACTAATGCTATGTTTAGTTGATGATGAAATATTGATGGAAATGTGTTATAATATTACGAAATTACCCATATAATGATCAAATAATGTTAAAATATTAAAATGACAGTCACTGATAAGTCTCTTAATTGAGACTTAGAACATATGATTTAATTGGAAAATGAAGAGAAAAAGATTTATTTTGCTGTTAAAATACCTCAACTTTGTGTGAATTGTCTTTTGTTGGTTAAAAATGCTAATGGACTGTACATGTTATATTATTAGGCCCAATTACTACTCAAAGGAAAAGAAAGAAAGGGGCGACCTAAAATACTAAAGCCCAAAGGAAGAGAAGAAAGACACAATCCAAAAGAAAGAGAGAGAAGACAGAATCAGAAACGCAAGGCAAAAATCATCGAGAGAGAACCCTAGCATCGTGCGATCAAACCCAAATTCCAGCCGACAAAACCCACGCCATCCATCCCTAACCCTTGCCACAAATCAACCGATAAGATCAGATCGTCCTCTTCTTACCGTTCATCCGTCCAAATTAACCCATATCCACAGTCCATTAAGAAAAGAAAACAAGAAAACCCTAGCCACTATTTTTGGTTCAGAAAAAGCCAAACAAAAATCCGTTACTTAGTGGAGGCTGGAGCGATTGAGAGCACACGTCAGTGTACGGGTTGAAGGAGCAACAATTCCATTCGGATTGTCTGAGCAGGGGAGTGGAGCATTGTGGGGACCACCCATTTGCAGCGCACAAGCAGCGCATACTGCTGAGCTGGAGCAAAAGAGGAATATTGTGCAAAGAAGGAAAGAAGAGCTATAAAAAGGAGAACAAGGAGTGAGTGAGGCCTTCTTCGGTTCTGCTTTGGAATTTTATTCTTCTGGTCTTCTGAATATTTTTTGTTTTGAATTTTCTTTCTGTTCTGTTTTGTTCACCAAATTTTATTTGTTGTTAAGACCAGTGCTGTAGTTTTAGTTTAAGCATTTTATATTCTGCAATATTTGATTTTTCCTTTACTGTTTTTAAGCTCCATTCTCATGGATAGGAGCTAAACTTTTTATAGGTTGGGTGTAGGTACCCAAACCACAGTCGTGAATGTGTGTTAAATGCTATTTTTTTTGAAGTTGATTCCCTTTTTTTTTTTACACTGTGCTTTAATTTATTTATGCTACTGTTGAGGCCTGATAGTAGGATATGAGTTTGGGAATTAGTCATTGAGAAATGACTAAGTCCAGAACTGTGTTGAACACATGGACTTGAGTGTGAGAACACTCAAGGGATGTTACTCAGAGATGAGAACAACTTCCATATTGTGTTGGATTGGATTATAAGGGTCTTTTCTTTCGTTTAGCACAGAGATGTGCAGATGTTTGTTAAAGATAAAAATGTTTTTAAGAGATTAAAATCAATAAGAAAAGGGTCCAACACTTGGGAACTAATTTTGAGGGATTTGTTTTTTTAGCACTTATTTGGAGGCTGTTTGGGAGGGGAACCAAAACTCAACCTGTTTCACAACTTATTGTCAACACTTCAGATTTATTTTCCTTTGATTTCACATATTTCAAATATAATTTAGGTTACCTATTTCTTCTTTTTTATAAAAAAAAGAAACAATCTTCTAACTTTTATTTTTCTTTTTGCATAAAAAATATCCCAACTTATTTCCCTCTAATTTTTCATTCATTAAGCTGTCAAATCATTTTTTTAAACAGAAAAATCCAAAAAGAAAAGAATTCACAGTTTAGTAGTAGTATTGTATTTATTTGATTTCCATTTTTTGTCCATTTTTAGAATAGGTTCAGTTTTAGCAATTATCAAATTTTGTCAAAGTACATACGCTAAAGATCCTTGTGGGAACTATATAAGGGTCTCATATATGCCCTATATTACTTGTTGTCGCGTATACTTGCGCGCTACTTGCATAACTGTTAGCAAGACAATAGTCACCAAACATACATTGGTATCCACTATAGTTTTCAAAATTTTTAATTCTAAAATTTTTTGCTGAACCTCTCTCCTCTCTTGGGATTGGAGACATAGATTAAAAAAATACCGCACTTCACATTGCAAATTTTTGTTCCACTGAGTTGTACAAAATGAAATGCATGGAAGAATATTATACCGGTATTCTCTAACTTGAAGACATATTAAACTTGGTTAATATATTTTACCTATACCACTTTCCCTACATTCCTAGCAAATTTTTCATACCAAACACCCGCTGATGAAGGTAAAAAAAATATCCAGATTACAGGTAACAACAATCCCACATAAAAATAATAAACAAAGGATCCGTATGCCTTGCTCAATCCGTGCCTTTTCTGTCGAAACCTGATCAGCTTCCTAGCACAAAACCATGAATTTAGGCATTTAGCCAACTTTTAGAACGACCAAAGAAAAAAGAGAGAGACGATACCATATCTGCCACACTATATCATGGGAGATGATGCAGAGTAGGAGACCGTGGTTTGTGTGGACTTGGCTGTCTATTGTTTGAAGAATCTTCCCCTTGTTTAGCCACTTCTCCATTGGATCCACAGCAGACCCCATCCCAAGCCCAATTTCTGTCTCCGGGTCCTCTGGGCCCAATTTCCCTAAAAAGAAAAAGTATCTGCATCATTTTACATCTTCTCAATTTTCGTTATTTTCCACTTATATATATCGCTTTTAGTTATGCGAGTCAAAGTAAATCAACATAAGACTTCTTATTTTTGTATTAAAAAAATATATATATACGTATATATATTATATATATATATATATATATATATATACGTATATATATTATATACATTCGTAGTGGCAAGAAAGATATTTTAAAGAGGAAGGGGAAATGCTACTTACCATTCCAAAAGAAAATACTAGATGAATAATATCTCCGTAGACTAAACCAAGTAAAGTATAAGCACTATTTTAAAACTCCACCCCACCCCTGGGTTGACCCGGGTCAACCCTGACCCCTCCCCTCTGAGGGTTGGGGTCACAAGTTGAATCCTATATGCACATCGACCCTTCCGACCCCCAAAACCCCGCTGGGTTTCAGTGACTCCCGGGTCAGAGGGGTCAAAAGGAGTCACTGCATGTTTTTTTTAAAAGAAAATTTCATGAAACAACGTCGTTTTATTAAAAAAATAAAATAAAAATACTTGCAAACCTAAATCTAATCGTTCTCTTCTCTCCCGACGACCTAGACTTGTGGTATCTTGATACTTTGGTATCATTAGAATATGAGTTTTGTACTTTGGTATCTTGATACTTTAATTAGATTGTGTAATATTGACTTGTGGTTATAATTGATGAATTATATTAAATATATTTTGAATCTTTAATGATTGGTGATTTGTTTTTTAATATTTTCTTATAGGATATATATATTTATATTTTATTAATATATAAAATCGGGTCAGCGTAGTGACCTCGTCACCCCCGATTGAACCCGTGACCCCTGACCTCGGCCGGGTCGATGACCGGGCCGAGTTTTTAAACACTGAGTATAAATTTGTTAGACAGCGCATAATATTATTTTTTTTACACTGTCTTTTCTTCCCCGTGTACATTGATTGAAAGGCTATTGTTTTTAAAAAAAAAAATAAAACTATAAATGACACCAATTTTTTTGTAGGTTTGATTTTACAAATTTTTAGTCTCCGTGAACTGATGTTGGAAGAGTTGATCAATCTTAATGAATAGTATATTAAGCAGTAGTTGTAATATCTGAAGACAAGACTTATGAAGTTCACATGACACATGTTGATGGTGGCAGTGATTCCCTTTCCCTAAACATGTAGGCATCGATTAGCTGTTTTTGAGTGCTAATTAAACTGTTTGCTAATGATCATTATTACACTTTTGCCTGACGCTTTGATACAAATGTGCAGCCAGCATTGTATCAAGGTTTTTGCCGTAATTTGCAGAGACAAAACCACACAAGCCCCCACGTTAGAGCAGGTTAGCAGCCCCAGGTTGTTTTTATTTTTAATTAGAGTAGCACAAAACAATTAGTTTTAGGTACTCTTACAGTTGTCTATAGAGAACTTGCCGATGCTGTCAGAGATATTTTTGGATATTTCATTCAAAGATATTTCATTCATGTGGATGTTCACTGTGATATATTTAATTTTGCACAAGTCACATATAATTTCATACGCATTTTACTGTATTGCGTTAACAAAATATTTAGATTTTGAATCAAGGGAAGGTAAAAAGGCCCTAAAATCAAGTAGATAAATAAAACTCAGCTAATGGACAGAGTATTTCATAAAGGAGAACCTGTAATGAAGTGGGAAAGATGTTCAATTTTAATTTATGTTAGCAATTTGTTCAGTAAACAAAAATGCTATTCTTGCTGAAATTTCACTGAATAAATTAAATGTATGTTGGCTTGGAAACAAAACTAGGATAAGAAGATGATACGGCTAATTTATTGATGTGATCTTTTTTTATTTTATTTTATTTCTTATAATGATATATGCTACTTAGACCTAGCTCAAGTGGCATGGTAGAATAGGAATTGATCGAGGAAGAGGTCTTAGTTTAATGCTTAATAAAATTAATAAAAACGTATTTATGTGTTTGTTAATTTGACAGATCTATAATTTGATTATTCTATTGGCAATAGTTTGTACACATTTTTGTAAGATTCAATCGTTTCCTTAATCTGCCTTTCCACTTTGTGGGTTTGATATTCAAAGACAAGTAGAAATCTAGATTTTCTAAGATTCACATTCCCTTGTGACTTACAAAATGTCGCAAAGGAACTTTTGGCCAAGGTATTTAGTTATGCATCCATGGATTACAAAAGGGAAGAGGGACAATTTAATTTTGACCAAGAGTCTATATAATTGCTGTACGAGGCCTCTAGTCTATCTTCATTCAAATATATGCATAACATAACAAATCTTTGCATCCAATTTATTCAATCTATGTTTATAATCTGGTATATATACATTTTAGAATAGGACTAACTCCTAGTGCTTCTTAATAAAAGCAAAATTTAGTACTCCATTTTGGTAGAGAATAAAATGGAGGACTTGGAGGGGGCTAATATTCTAGTCAATGTTTATGACAAAATTAACCATATGATTAAGCTTGAATAACTTTCCCGTGAGGAAATCTGACCCTGAACACATGTTCCTCCCCTGTGCATTTATCTACCTTCACAACCCAATGGCTTTTGATCTTCCCATTTCTGCTACCATATTTTGGTTTAGTGTCAGCTACTCCAAATCTAGTCACTAGCAGCCCTTCTCCTATTGGCAGGAGCTGAGTTTTTGATCCACATGAACACCAAGACCCTCTGCAGCTAAATGCATTATATCCCACAACCACTGTGCCATTTTGCTTCCTACCCTCTTGAACTGCTTTGAGAATCTCTTCATGATTCTCAAGGTTGCAGTCAATGAGCAAAAAATCTGCTGTCTCATATTGTTCTAACAGAAGTTCTTGAGCTTCTCCAACCATGAATTGAACTTGATGAGAAGCAATTCCCAAGGCATTTTTGGAGGCATTTAATTCTTCATGGCCACCAACAATGCAAATGACCTGGCCACCAGTTTGATGAGCAGCAGCAACCAAGGCTAGTAGTGTTGTGGAATCTGCTGCAGCAGCACAAGCCATAACCATCCTTTGTGCACTGTTTCCAGCAGCTAGTGCTGATATAAACTCAGCCACATCTGGCTCTTTAGCCTTTTGACCCTGAAGAAAAGAAACCAAAATAATCAGATAACAAATACTGTTATGTAAAATTTTTGAAGATAGAGAGATTCAAGAAACTGAGTAGAATTTTTTTTTAAGATATGTTAAGAGACTTAAGAGAGAATAATACTAACCATTTTCAAAGTGCTAAGATAGGCCTTTGTTGCATTTTCTGCAGACCAGCAAGCCATAGTTCACTTTATTGGTTCTTTTAACTCTTCTAAGGCTCTTTTTTTTTGGATGGAAGAGGATTTTCAGAGACTTGATGCAAATGATGAGTGCCTTGGCTTTGGTTCTTGTGCTTTATATATATATATATATATGGGAAAAGTGTCTATCATTTAAAATTACACAACTTACATCCTTTCACTCTCACAAAGAGGCGGGACCCACACTTTTATTTTTTTTTGTCAACTCTCTCTCCTACTTTATCTATCTCTTTCTCTTTCTTAAAATGACACAACTTTACATCCTTTAAAATTATACACACTTTTCCCTATATATATATATATATACAGGAGCAACCAAGGGTTCTCACTGCACATGGTGGGTCATGTATCATTCCACCTAGCTCAGGACATAGAAAAATATATAATAATGCAAAATGATATGTATATACCCAAAAACAAAGTTTGTTCGATTCCATGTATAAAGTAGTTACCAACTTGGCTAGGTTTATTGAAAATATTCATTACTTTTTTTTTGGTAAAAATTGTTATTTAATTGGTTATAAACACTAGTGCTTCCCTTCCTTGCTAATTTTCCGTCAATTGGACGAGTTTTACAGGAAGAGAATACAAAATTTTCCAAGAAAAAAAAAATTGAAATTCGGAAATGAAAAGGACAATGCACACATTACACATATATTTGATTAATCTTCCGTTGGCATGGAAACATGTCAAATATAAACAAAGTAGGTATATATACTAACTGATTTCATAAATCTTATGGATCGTAAGTAAGCTTCTTGGATATTGGCATAGTACATTAAAAAAATATATTTAATAACAAGCTTGGCTTATAGATGGTTAAAAAGATAAGATCCTATATTAGTTTAATCCAAATTCCTATTTATTTAGGAAATACGTAAGTAGCTTCCCATTCAGGTCTAGGCTTGGTGTAAGTAGCTAATTAATCGCATTTTTGTTGGTGTTGTCTTGGTGTGTAAGCTTTTTATTGCCTAATATGACAATATACTTGTCAACCGAAGTCATGTGTGGGTTACACTTTGATATATATATATAATATCGATCAAAGAGTACTATTGAGAAATTGGAAGAGTTATTAGATGGTGATACGGTTCATCAAAATGTAAGGATATATAATTGGTATGGTATGTGTGAATGTATGAGTTTTAAAATAGTATTTCTGGTTATTGAATTCTTTTGCTGGTAGTTATTGATTCACGCGCGTATAAGATTTTGTCACCTTTGGTTATTGAATTTTACAATTTTGTTCTTAAAAAAAATAAGCTCACTAAAAAAAAATAAAAGAACCTAGACGATATTAAGTTGTTTTTTTGAATATATTTATTTGTTTTAAAATTTAATTAAGCATTTTACATCCTTGCCATTTTTTTGTTTTTGATTTCCAGCAACATAGTTAAATTGTTAATATTTTGGGTTGTGATGTAGTTTTAGCTATTGTAGTGTTTCAATTTTCAATCAACTCAAATATATAAAATAAACAAGTAATCATAATCTATAATTTATATAGTGCAATATGTCATTTTTAATTAAATGCTTAGTAGCCAGACTAAACCTTGTATCTTTTAAAAACATGTCAAACTAACTTAACTAAGCCTATAATTTAGAATGAATACGATTTATAAGCTAAGTCAGACTTGAAATATTTGACATAAATTTAACCTATTTAGACTAAATTTTGATTTGGCTAACATTTACATTTGTATACTATTTTAGGCCTTACCTTCTATAAAAAAATTTACGTAGGAGAGAAATTTTGCGATCACATACAAAAACTCTAATGCTCTGTGTAATTTTATCCCAACTATTGTAGCTTTCATCATCGTTTCTCTACCAACTTATACTTAATCCTAAATATCTAGATGTGGCTTTCTTAACATGACAACATATATTTTTCTCTAGAGATACACATGTAATGACCTGGTGTAAGTATTAATACATTCAATTTTTGACCATTGATTTTATTATAATTTAATGGTTATAAATCATCAAATTCAATAAAGAAAGATAATAATAAACTCACACGTTAATAAGAAGAGAGAAAAATAAGGATACCAAAAAAAAAAAAAAAAAGAAGAGAGAAAAATAAAATGTGACCTCAAATAAAAAAGTTTAATTATTGTATATAATTTATAATGAAAAATAATATATTATTGGATATAATTTATAAAATTTCACAATATATTTTAATAATTATCAGGACTTAAAAAAAATTGTAAATAGATACCTTAAAACTCCAGCATATAAAAACCCGGCCTGGCCATCGACCCGGCTGAGGTCAGGGGTCACAGGATCACGGGTTCAACTGGGGGGTTAGGGGATCACTACGCTGACCCGATTTTATATATTAAAAAAAATATAAATAGATATATCTTATATGAAAATATTAAAAAACAAATCACCAATTATCAAAGATTCAAAATATACTTAACATAATTCACCAATTATAACCACAAGTCAATATTATACAACCTAATTAAAGTATCAAGATACCAAAGTACAAAACTCATATTCTAATGGGGTCACTACACTGACCCGGTTCTGCCTCTTTTGAGAAGGTCTCTGACAAAGGAAAATTTAAAGGAAGTAAGAATGAGTTTTTGTTTTCCATCGACAACTCGTAAGGATTTCATTTGAAGGGGTAAAATTCTTACCTTTTCTAGAAGATTCATGGCAGTGAGGTGAAGATTGAAAACATTTAGGTCACTAGGAGAGAAGAGAACAATTAGATTTAGGTTTGCAAGCATTTTTGTTTATTTTTTTAATAAAACAATGTTGTTTAATGGAATTTTTAAAAAAAAAAAAACATGTAATGACCCCCTTTGACCCGGGAGTCACTGAAATCCGGCCGGGTTTTGGAGGTCGGAGAGGTCGATATGCATATAGGGTCCAACTTGTGACCCCAACCCTCAGAGGGGAGGGGTCAGGGTTGATCCGGGTCAACCCGGGAGGTGGGGCGGAGTTTTAAAACACTGCTTAAAACTCCAGCATATAAATTCATTAATTAATATTTTTGTATGTAAGTATCTAAAATTTGACACTCTAAACATTGTATGAATAAATAAAAGTACCTATAGTTATTTGCAATAGCCTATACTACTTGCTAAAATTATTATAATTTATGAACAATGCATAATGAGCTAAAATAATCTGTGTACGAGTTTTTTTTTTTTTTTTTTAATTTGATAAGCAATTACAGTAATAAAAACAATTTCAGAATTTGTATCCATCCACGTTGGGAAATGAAATTTTATTCTGATATCATGTGGCAACGTTCACATATGTTTGATAATATATTCATGAATATAAATAATAACTAAAATTTCTTTTCTTATTAAAAACAAATATATATATAGCAAAATAGTAATTTAATTTAATTTAATTTATTTGCACATATACGATTGACTCAGATTCGTAGCTGGTACATGTGTCAATTAGTATAATTATATACTAATTAATAGTCTAAGAGGGATACCAATTTATATAGATGCAAGCAACCCGATTCGAAAAATAATATTTATTTCCATACGTGCAACATATATAGTACATTTATTACAGAATTATGTTCATAAATGAGGATGACTTACAAGGTACCTAATTAAACACTGATTTCCAAATCCATTATATAAATTGACCGTATCTATTTTATAAAACAAAAAATCTATAAAAAAAACCACAAAAGCACAGAAAAACCATTTTGGCCACATCCAAAGACCAACTTTTTTGCCAAAATCTGTGTATTATATTAAAGAAAAGAAGCAAACACATGTAAACAAATTATGGAGACATGCCAACGCCAAACACTTTCTTTAGAAGTGCTGTTTGATTCTTGCTGCAATGGGAAAAGCAAACAAAGATCTAGATCACATCAAATTGTTTCCCCTACCAAGGACATTGATAACAAGGAGGAAACCCCATTAGTAAATTTTCTGTCTGCTTGTCTCTGTTTCTTTGCATTATTAGATGCTCCCCATTTATCCTATTCTGCTGTGGAGAATGATGCAAATAATTGGTGGACCTTATGGGAAGTATTCAATATGAATATTTTCCTTTATTTTTCTCTCTCTGTATATATATAACTTCCAAAACTCATTTCCCTTTACCTGGTTTGCTCCAATTGGATTAGAAGAATATTTTAATAGGATAAAAAAATATGAGTATGGTGTTTGTCATTTTAAAAGATATAAGTTATGTCATTTTGCCGAGTTAGGTTGCTTCAACTTGTAACCCAAATGGAGGCATCAAAGTTATGTCATTTTAGAAGAGAGATAGACACAAGGAATGAAAATCATGGGGAAGAGTGAGTGGTTTTTTTTTTTAAATTTAAATTTTAAATAAAAAATGATATTTTGTGTTTATATCTCTATTAAAATGACATAACTTTATGTCATCTAAAATGACAAACATTTCCCCAAAATATATATATATATATATATATATATATATTGAATGAGAAGAGAGAACGTGGGGTTCTTAGAAGGTGACGAGAAATGGAGGGGGAATTCAATGCTCATATATATAATTAAGAATAAACTAAAGTATAAACAAGTTTTGGGTCTATTATGGATTCCGCTGGTTCAATGGTTTTTGGGTGTAGCCATGGAGGGGACACGGTTGTATGGGTCAGCATACCTCATTCATAAGCTAAGTATGGTACCTTATCCTGTACCACTGTCTTGTACCCCTTATGCGTGCATGTATCTCCAGGATCTTCGTTTTGAGACATGATGGGCACCAGAAAATAAGGAAAAACAAAAAACTTGTCAATCAACACATAATTTCGTTGTTATTCTGCCATGTGATTGAATATCTATGCCACCTGGTTTATAAGATTGAATACGAGAGCTTAACTTCAATTCTGTATTGTCTTTATCCGAAGCATATATGAGAATATATAGTAGTTTGTTTTGTTGTGAGAGTCATAACTGATAAGTGTAAGTATGTACAATTTAATATGATATGAAATGTTAGTATACTAGAACACA